ACAATTATTATTTTTCAAAAAAGTGGTAGGAAAAAAATATTCTAGGAGTAGGATTATCAAAGTGGATGAAAATTTCTATGAAAGACCTCTTGGAAGAGGGAGCTTGATTTTGAAAAAATAACAAGTTTGGGGTAAGTTGAACAGACAGCATAAACATTATGGCTAAGAATGAGCATAAAATTGGCTCCAAATAGAAACAAGTTAGGAAGCATTGTGAGGCTAAGTATGTAAGTAAGTTAGTAAGCAGAACAGGGCTAAAGATTCTTCCTGACAGTTTGAGAAATTTCAAGTAGCTAGTATTCAAGGAAAACACGATGTGATACTGGACTAGGAATGGGAAGAACTGTGGACATTTGAAACATTTCAAATGTAGAGGAGATAGGACTCAGTGATAAAGGATGGATGAAATGGCCGAATCAAAGATGTCAGACCTCTAATTTGATCAACCGAAAGTACAGTTTTCCAGTAACAGAAATTTGGGAGGAAGGTGATTCTGGGGGAAAAACAATCATATCAACTTTAGGCATGACAAGTCTACACTCCTACTAACACTCAAACCATTTACTGAGCACAGGCATAAATGCATTAATCTACTGATTGTTGATGGAGGCATCAACATGTAAAATCTCGTATTAAGATACACAAGAAACTGAAAAGTCCATTCTAGTTTTATACAGTAGGGAATCTGATACTACATGAATTCACATTTTTAAACCTCATTTTAACAATTAACTTAAAGTTCACCAAAATCATTTCCACACTGCAAAACAGATTTAAGTACAGTTGACCCTTGAACAATGCTAGGGTTAGGGTAGCAGAACTCCCATGCAGTTGAAAATCCATATATAATTTTTGACTACCCCAAAATTTTACAGTTGTCCCATGGCATCTATGGGGGATTGGTTCCAGAAAACCCAACGGATACCAAAATCCCTGGATGCTCAAGTTCTGTATATTAAATGGCACAGATCAATAAATGCATATAGTCAAAACTGTGGATCCACTGGTTGAATCCACACATGTGAAATCCAGGGAAACATATTTATTGAAAAAGATTTGCGTATAAGTGGACCCACACAATTCAAATCCAAGCTTTTTAAGAGTCAGCTGTAATCTATTTTCATTCCTTTCCCCTCCTTAATAAAGCAACAACAACTACTAAGCAACAATGAACAGAACAGACTCAGAAAACATGGGTTTGGATAATCTCTCCCAACTAGACACAGTTACTTATCCATTTATACTTAAAGTATCAGTATCTTCCCTTGAAACTGTAACTAGTGATTTCTATCAAGATATTGGTTACAGTGGTTCTCAACCTGTGGGTCGCAACCCCTTTGGGGGTCAAACGACCCTTTCACAGGGGTCACCTAAGACCATCCTGCATATCAGATATTTATATTATGATTCATAACAGTAGCAAAATTACACTTATGAAGTAGAAACGAAAATATTTTTATGGTTGGGGGTCACAACATGAGGAACTGTATTTAAAGGGCCAGAAGGTTGAGAACCACTGATTTAACAGAACTGACACCTTCCTTGCTCCTTGAAGTTCAAATCCTAAAAAAGTTTCTATTTTCCTTTGTGAATTATGAAATAAATGTTCATTATACCACATATAAGTTATATGTATCGTAGGCTGTCTTTAATGAAAGTATAGCATTTGTGCCATCTGCTAAGGCTTTGAAGCCAAAAAGACCGAATGCTATATAAGAGTGCCAAGGGAACACGACCATGGGGAAATGACCATGCGAAGCTGGTAATACAGAAGATCCTGCCATGGAGTCTTCACTCTCACTGCTCCCCTACTGCAGCCTGAGAGTATAAAAGTCTTACCCTCTTCCTGTTTATGTACTAGAGACTACAGCATGTCCCCTTTTATTCCCTTTTGATCTGAACAAATCTTCAGAAAATTTCGTGACTTTTCTAGAAACCTAACTAAAAGTGAAGGCCTTTTGAGAGTACCAGGACCCACTAATAAGAGAAACCAACTCATCAACCCTCAAATGAAAAGAACTTTATACAGCTCAATGAATGAGCTCAAATGTCTTAGAATGAGGAAGCGAAGAACCAATGTTTTGAGGCTGGACTACCATCTTTGCACTCAAACACCAAGATGCTAGCTGTTGCAACTCACAATCCAAAATTATATAAACTGAAAGTTTGGTTAGAACACTCTCAAGTTATTTAACAAATACTATTTTTACTTTGTACTACATGAACACTCAAATACTATAATTAGACAGGAATTACCTTTTATATACATATAGCCAGTATTTAAGAACTTAAGACAACCTTTTTGAGAAAAAAATATTAGATCAAGTCAGTAAGCCTCAGGACTCATTCAATCTTGTAGAAGTTTTAATTTAGAAGAATTTTAAAAATTGCTAGTCAATAGAAATCAACTGAATTGAGCAAAAAAAAAAAAAAAAAAAAAAAAAAAAAGGTTAGTTCACAAACTGAATTTGTATCTTCATACAAGTATATGAAAATATTGGTGAAAATGCAAACAGGGTTAACAGAATAAAATCTTAAAGCTGGAGGGGACCTTAGATAAATCATTTGCTTAAAGTCACACAGCACATTACTAATAAAGTCTGGCAAGTCTCTCTATCTTAACTCTACAGTGCCCTTCTGTAATACGCTCTTTGCTTCACTCCTATTGTAAGCCCTCCATTAAACTTCTGGGGAGAGTTCTCACTTAAGACCTGCTTCCTGGGTTTCTTCTTTCTTCAGAAGGCCCCAGGGAGTCAGATTGTATAGTCCTAAACTTTCTCTTTTCTGAAATTAAGCCTATTGGCCCAAGATAAGGCAGAATTTTATTGCCGGGGACAGTTGGGTGCAACCAAATTAACTGAGATGCAGGTGATAAAAGTTCTAAGAATTAGTAAGCCATTTAATTTTCCAAAACTCAACTAGATATTTTTCATAAGCAGAATATTAATTGGGATAATTCTATCACTAGCATGGGCAAGTCATGTTAAGTAGGTTATACAATTTAATATAAAGATTTCAGGATTAAAGTATTTCAGAACAATTCTTATTTTATCAATGGTGAGGTGGAAAGAATATTCAACTAAGAATTAAAAGAATTGGGCTAAATCTGGTTTTACTCTCTCTTTTTTTAAAAAAATATATTTTATTGATTTTTTACAGAGAGGAAGGGAGAGAGATAGAGAGTTAGAAACATCGATCAGCTGCCTCCTGCACATCTCCCACTGGGGATGTGCCCGCAACCAAGGTACATGCCCTTGACCGGAATCGAACCTGGGACCTTTCAGTCTGCAGGCTGACGCTCTATCCACTGAGCCAAACCGGTTTCGGCTGGTTTTACTCTCTTGATGGGTGATCCTGGGTCAAGTCACATAACCTCACTGAACCTGTTTATCTGTAAAATGAGTGTAATGGTTTAGAGCAGTAAGTTGTATACCTAGTAATATTTTTTGATTGAGGTCCTAAAAATATTCATTGACATTATATTGGAAAATGTTTAATGATTGAGATTCTCAAATGAAAGTGATCTCAATCTAAATTGATGAAACATTTAAAAATAATTGTTACTTAATGCAATTATGTAAATTTTTAAGAACATGCAGTAAGTGCATACAGGTTAACAGAAAATGCCGCTTACTAGAAAGGTTGATTTAGAATCTTAAAGGACAATGGGATGTAGGGGTGACGGTAGTGAGGTACTTACATGATAGGGCTTTGGGGCCAACACTCTGCTTTTATATAAGAACCGCATTTGTGCAAGAAGATTCCTAACAAACACTACTATTTGAAAATTCTTTTGAACTCTAAAATTTCATGGTACAGTACTGGGACTCTAAATCAACCTTTCTAGTAAGCGGCATTTTCTGTTAACCTGTATGCACTTACTGCATGTTCTTAAAAATTTACATAATTGCATTAAGTAACAATTATTTTTAAATGTTTCATCAATTCAGATTGAGATCACTTTCATTTGAGAATCTCAATCATTAAACATTTTCCAGTATAATGTCGATGAATATATGTAGCTTACTTCTGGTTTTCAGTGACCTGTAAAGTGAGTCCAAGAAGAAAATGTGACAAAATAGTCCTCTTGCTTCCAACTTTGATGGGATACAGAATCTGAAATTATGCTACACTAGAAAAAAAGCAAATGAATTAGCTATTTTTTAAAACCCTGAACTTATCTATATCAGTTATTCCCCCCAATGTACAAATTACAATTCACCACTAAATCTATTAAACATAAAAATCTTTTCTAAACAAAAAAACATCAAGTAACAAACAACAGGAAACTCAGTGGATATTACAGACCTTTTGGCCCAAAAGTCTTACAATAGAATCTTTTCGGTAACTTAAACTCTGAACTTTGTCACTACATTTGATTTTTTTGTCTAAAGTGATGCCAATAGTATAGTTTCTGGGTCTCTGGGATAAATAAGAAATGGTAGACGATATTGTCTATTCTAATTTGTTAAGACTGTACAATAGTCTTCCAAGTAGCACTCCCAAGATCTTCACAACATTCTAGCACAGCTATATAGAAAACTATGATGAAAAAAATGTTTGATTTAGCAGCATGCCAAGCTGATTTTTAACCATCAGATCCTCACATACTTATCTGATCCTCAAATACACAATAGGAAGTAAAAATCTATACGTCATATTCACAGCCTAATGGTTTACTTAATGAATCGGCAGTTCATCTTTCTTCAGCATATCAGATTACTTAACAAAAACCCAAACAAGCCATCATAAATCCTTCCTACTTGGGAAGAGGGGAAAGGAAGGAGTTCTGTGCCAAGCACTCTTTTAATGTTTTTTTTCACAACCACCCTATGAGGTTCCTTTTTTTTTAAGGTACATATTCCTTTTTACAGATTTGGAAATTGAGGTAAAAAGTTAAGTAACTTGCCCAAAGTTACACGGCTAACAGTTTGTGAAACGGGTACAAACGGGCAGTCTGGCTCAAGTTTTAGTTCCTAGCCACTAGCTAGCCACTACATCACAGCTTCTTAAATCTACCTTTCTGTTTAATATAAAAATCACAATTGAAATAGAGCAGCTATTCACAAAGTGAATTAAGATCACTTTTACAATAGCTGGCGTAGTAAAAACAGTGTTTATGAAAAGGCATAAAATGCTGCATATGTGTAAATACAAGGAGCCTAGTATGCACGAATTTCACAAATTCGAGACAAATGCTAATAAAAAACCCTATATATTTATACCTGATGAATACCACTCAATTCCGAAAGACTACAAATAGTACAATTAGAAACTTCTCCCATAATAACCTTAGGCCTTGGTTGTTAAGACCTGCCTGCACTCGGGAGAACTGCTTACTAGGTTGACCCCCTTCTGCATTCCTGCCCAATTCCCAGATTCCAAAGTTTTCAGGAGAATTTTAACTTGCGCAAGGCCCAGGTCACCTGTGATGTAGGCCGATGAAGTGATCGTTTATGTTTTTTGTTTGTGTGTTTGTTTGTTTGTTTTAACGGGGGAATAAAAGATTCGACAGAAAAAGTCACCCTGAGCAATGCAACAGCAAGGACCAGAACGACCACAGGTGTAACAACCCGTGATGGGGATATTCACCACTTGCAACACACTATCCACGAATGGTGACAGCGACGTTCGCAGGCCTCGAGCTGGTGAGACAAGGCACATCCCGCGCCTCCGGGGTGCCATTGACCTAATCCTCTCGGCAAAGAGCAAGAACAACAGGAAGGGGGGTGGGGTGGGGTGGGGGGCGCAGGGATGAAATGCCCAGGTGACACCGTGTGCACCGAGGGAGGGAGGGATGTTATGCAGGTTCCCAGGATGACACACCGCAAGGTTTCAGGGCGCGACCAGCTCGCTGCGGGGCCCACAGGGTTGTGTTTGTTTACCCCGCGCCGCCTGGAAGGAGGCCGGGCAGCTACAATGGACACCAAACGAATAGCACAGAGGAGAACAGGGGGGTAGACGCCACCGAACAGCTGGGTAGGAGAGATCGGCGCCCGGCCCCGGGGCAGCTGCCCCGACCCAGGCGACTGCCCTCCCGCAGCCCTGTCTGCGCACAAAGAACCGGCTGCTCGGGGCAGCCTCCTCGGCTTCTGCCCCATCGCCGGGGCCTCATCTCCGGGGGCTCCGGGGGCTCCGGCGGGGGGCCGGGTGGAGAACGGAGGAGGGGAGCCCGGAGGAGGCGGCACTCCGGAGCGGCGCCTCCTGCCTCCCGCGCCGCCCAGCGCCGCAGCCTCGCTCTCCGCCGTCGCCGACCCCGCCGGCCCCAGGCCCCTCGCAGCCCGCAGCCCGCAGCCCAGGCCGGGAGCAGGACCCGCCCGCCCCGCCGTCCGCCCCGCTCGCCCTTCCGGGAGCTTCCCCCGCTCCTTCCACTCCCGAGCGCCCGGAAGCCCCCGGCCCCGAGACTCGGCTTGGCTACCTGGATCCGCTTCTTGTGTCGCCTGCGCTCCGCCATGTTGGCCGCTCCGCCCGGTTCCCTCTGACGTGGAGCGAGGAGGGGGCGGTGGAAACCTCGCGAGAGCCCTCCGCGGGGCCCGTTATGTAACCCGCGGGCCGGGGGGCCGCGCCGGGGGGGGGAGGCGGGCGGGCGAGGGGCCGGGACCGAGCGCCCCGCGGGCTGGCGGCGCCCTCTCTCCCCGCCTCCCTCGGCTCCTGTGGCGGCGGGAGCGGGAGGCGCTGGGACCCGGAGGAGGAGGAGGAGGAGGAGGAGGAGGAGAAGGGGGCCGAGAACCGGTGGCTGTCAGACCTGCAGGGGCGTCTGCGCCGCCGGGGAAGCCGCTCAAATACAGATTCCCGGGCCCCGCCCCCTGGGAGTCAGGGCGTTTGCGGCGGCGCCTTTCGCGGAGCGAGTTACGGGGACTATCTCCTAACTATCCCCCCGACAGCCCTGCCCCACGCATGCTCCCCCCCCCACCCCGCCCCCGCCAGCAAATCCTCCTGAACCCATTTTACAGATGGGAAGACCGAGGCCGAGGGCCGGCGACCTGAGCGGAGTTCTCTGATGCTCCACGGAGACCCAAGCCAGTGCTTTTCCATACGGTAGACGGGGTCGTGGGCGCATCGGGAACCAACCTCGGATTCCCCACTCCGTTTCCCGCGCTGCTTCTGGAAACCCATCTGTAGAATGCAAGTCAGGGAGCACCCAGAGCGGACAAGCAGCCAGTGAGAGGAATGGGAGAAGAAGTGGCCAGGGAAGAAGACCGGGGGTTCTTCACCTCTGGTGAATTACTATTGTGAATATTTTTTTTTTGTTTGTTGTTGTTGTTTTTAGACACCCACACCAAGGAGAATGGGCTTAGAGTGCTAGTGTTTACAAATTCCCGTGACTTTGTGGAGATTTTAAGGCATTTTCCATTATAGAAAATTGAGAAAATGCAGAAAAGTTCGACGAGGAAAACAAAAACCCCAAATTCTGCCCCTCAAAGAGATGATCATTTTAGTTTGTTTCCTTTCAGTATTTGTTCCTACTTTGTGTATTTGTTTTTATATTTATACATTTTCCTCTTTCCCCTGTATATGTAATATGGTAGCCATTTTTTTTCACTTTATGTTCTGTTGCAAGCACTTATGTCATTACAAAATCCTTCGTTTCCCACATTAAATATGTAACCTAATAAAAATTAACTGTAACTACGGCAAATAGCGGCATCTTTTTATAAAGTAAGGTAGCTAAAGTTCTGTTTTGGACTATGCAATGCTGCACTCGGGCAGGACCAGCCAGCCATTTAGTTCCTTTCCCCTCCGTAATCTACAGTTAGGGGGTACGTGTGGCCAGGGAGGGGGAGAAAACGTGCTGATTCTTAACAATTAACCCAAAATATAATGTAGATTGTGAAATGTCTGTTTCCTTCAGGCACTCTTCCCATCCAAAATGATAGATCTGTTTTGTACATCAGAGAGCTGATTTATAAGAGAAAATGTTGTGTTTAAGAGATAGTGCCTAGAACTATGATGGGGAACAAAAGTCCTTTGTAGACAATTACTGCCTCTCAAGCTACTGCTCTACCACCTTTTTCTTCCAAAGAGCTTTAATTTACTATCCTCATGTTCTAATTGACATTTACTTCTTAGACTACAACAATTTGGTTTCTACCTCCACCATCTATAATAATAAAAGCATAATATGCTAATTAGACCGGACAGCCGAATGACCTTCTGGACGTCATTCGGGATGTCCTTCCTGAAAAAGTCGCCATGGCGGGGACTGGGCAGAGGCAGTTAGGGGCAATCAGGCAGGCAGGCGAGCAGTTAGGGGTGATGAGGCAGGCAGGAGAGCATTTAGGAGCCAGCGGTCCCGGATTGCAAGAGGGATGTCCGAATGTCGGGATCAGGCCTGAACCAGCAGTCAGACATCCCCGAGGGGTCCTGGATTGCGAGAAGGCGCAGGATGGGCTGAGGGACTCCTACTCTCCCCCCCCCCCCGCCCCCACATGAATTTCATGCACCAGGCCTCTAGTTCATTAATAATTCCCATCAAATCCAATAGCTTCTTTTTGGTTAGCATCTTAGTAAGCATTTGACAACATTGACTATTCACTTCTTATTCTTCTTCCTTGGCGTTTATGATATCAGGTTCTTCCTTCCTGTTTGTTTCTTTTGGGCTCCTGTCTACCCAGCTCTTCCATGTTCCTGGCCACCATGCTTCCTTGCTCAGCTTCTTCCCTTCTCTTTTCTCTATGCATTCTGGGAATTCTCATTCATGCTTACAGCTCAATTCCAAAATACTGCATATATGTTTATTTCCAGCTGTGTTCTGGATATCTCCTAAAGTCCAACTAGAGATCATCGTTTTCCCCACAAGACCTTCCCCTTTTATTTTATTTTAAAACTGATAACTGCATCATTGTTCACTCAGTTACTCAGGATTAGAAACCTTGGAAGTATCTCAACCATGCTTCTCTGTCAAGGAGTCACCAGTCCTACTGATTTTACAATTGAGATGTTTGGCATTCTAACCTCCCTCCTCACTCCTACTGCCATTGCTTTGATCAGGTCTTTATCAGTACCTACCTGAACCATTGTTACAAGCGCCTCGTAATCATTCTTCCCAACTCTACGCTCTCTATACTTTAGATTACCTTCTATTTCCTTGTTTCACCACGGCCCCCACCCACTGTTACTCCCCAGTTGGGTACAGCAGCATTAAGGATTTCTAATGTTCTCACCCAAGTGTCAAATTTCTGGATCCTCCTTCCACTTAATACTTATATAGAAATAATCCACACGCTCTTCACAGAGCCCCATTCTCTAGTATATCTTTGATGGTGGTGGTGGAGAGTTTCTCCTAGCCACTTCCTGCTCTGATTTTCCTTTGAATTTGAATATCATTCCTGTCATCTGACTTTTATTTCTTACCTGAACGAGGAGTATTGCCCCTCTTTTTTTTTCAAAGCAAAACCAGGGCTTCTAAATTGGGATATGGACATGGGAGAAAAATCCTAATATTTTTCCTTCTCATATTGGCCTCGAATGAATTTCAGACAGCTCTTGTTCTCAAGTGCTCGCTCAATAATGCTGATTTCTCTGAAATAAAAAGGACAATAGGCCAGTAGATTTTTGGAATGAATATTTTAACTTTTTTTAAAAAATATATTTTATTGATTTTTCACAGAGAGGAAGGGAGAGAGATAGAGAGAGTTAGAAACATCGATGAGAGAGAAACATCGACCAGCTGCCTCCTGCACATCCCCCACCGGGAATGTGCCCGCAACCCAGGCACATGCCCCTGACCGGAATCGAACCCGGGACCTCTCAGTCCGCAGGCCGACGCTCTATCCACTGAGCCAAACCGGTTTCGGCGAATATTTTAACTTTTAGGTAATTAAATAATTTGGTAGAGGCAGTGGTGATTATGGGTTAACCCCCAAATTAAAGCTACTAGTTATTCACTTATTTTTTCTTGTATATCTCTTGAAGAAATTACTAAAATGCTGTATGACATTTTATATTCTTATGCGACATGTAAAATGTTCTGCTTCCCGGGGCTCCAATTATTTTCCAACATGTTGCTTCTGAGTTATGCAGGGTTTCTCCCTTGACGCTGGAAATTAACTCACTGCATTTGAAGTGATATATATTTTCAGACCAAACAGGGAAAAGTACTAGATTCCTTCCCTAACCTATACTTCCTAAGGAAAGGGATTTGGGGGTCTTGATTTTTAATCTGTCAAATGGAAAACTTTCCTCTTCCACGTGCCTTCAACCCAGGAATTGCTGGTCTGAAAGGCCATTGTATTTAGTGTTTGTCATAATAAAACATCTCCCAGCAAAGGTTTATTCATTCTGTTACAGGACAGACCAGGATCACCTAAATATTTTCACATACAATTACTATTCTGACCTTCAACTTTTGGTAATAAAATAAATGCTGAGAGCTTAGAATGTGCTTTTAAGAAATGCTTGAATAATCGGGCACATGACTAATCAAAGGCAAGGTTTACTAGTCTAATCTTAACTTCAAGAGTAAAGGTATTTCTTTTAATTAATATGTATTTTTTACTCTGCCCACAAACCAATATTGTAATAAGTAAATTTTGCTCAGCCATAGCAAAATTTATTTTTAATTTTCTTCAACTATTAATTTTGACATACTTTCAGTTATGAGACAGTTTCAACAAAACAGTATCAAGAGTTCCTATGTAGTATTCTTCACCCAGTTTCTAAAAATGCTATCTTCTGTTACCATAGCACCATTTTCAAAATAGGAAATTAACTTGACAAAGTAATCTCCAGACCTTATTCAAATTTTATCATGTCTTACTAATGTACTTTTTCTGCTCAGGATCCAATCCAAGATTTTGCATTGTATCTAATTTTCATTAGTATTTTTTTTTTCAGTCTACCTTAGAAGAAGGAAGGGAGAGGAGAGAGAGAAAGAGAGCTAGAGTGAGAGAGAGATAAAGAGAGGGGAAGGGAGAGAGAGAAACATATATGTGAGAGAGAAATATTAATTGGTTGCCTCCCAAACACACCCTGACTGGAAATCGAACCTGACACCTTTTGATGTACAGGGATGATGCTCCAACCAACCAACCAACCAATCAAATGAGCCACACTGACCAAGACTGGTTAATTAGTATTTTTTTAAAAAATTTATCTTTATTGTTGAAAATATTACAGATGCTCCCCTCTTTCCCCCATTGACCCCCTCCACCCCGCTCCCCGCCCCTCCCACCTTCACCACACTATTGTCAGTGTCCATGGGTTATGCCTATATGCATATGTTTTTTGATTAATCTCTTCCCTAGCTCCACCCCCACCCCCATCCCTCTGAGATTCACCAGTCCATTCCATGCTACTATGTCTCTGGATCCATTTTGTTCATCAGTTTATTTTGTTTATTAGATTCCACATATGAGTGAGATCATGTGATACTTGTCTTTCTCTGACTGGCTTATTTTGCTCAGCATAGTGCTCTCCAGGACCCTCCATGCTGTCTCAAAGGGTAAGAGATCCTTTTTGGTTCATTAGTCTTTAATCTGTGACCAGTCCTCAGTTTTTCTTTGTCTTTCTTTGACTTTTTGAAGAATACTGGCCAGGTTTTTTGTTGTTGTTGTTGGGTGTTTTGGGTTTTTTTTGGGTAGAATGTTGCTCAATTTGGATTTGTCTGACATTTCCTCATGACGACATTCAGGTTACACATTTTTGGCAAGAACATTTCAATGCTTCCTATCAGGAGGAACGTAGTCACTGTGTTCCATCACCGGTGGTGCTTATTTTGATCCCTTAGTTAAGGTGGCATCTGCCGGGTTTAATCACTGTAAAGTTACTGTTCTCTTTAAAATCAATAAGCAGCTAATCAGGGGATCGTTTGAAATTATGTAAATATTCTGCTTTTCAGCATGCTTTTGCCTACTCCTGTTAGCGTACATTAATTGCCTCTCTCTGAAATAATTATTACTGTTGTGTCTGCCAAACGATGATTTTCTATTTTCATCATTCATTCTACATGTATTAATTGGGATACTACTGTAGGAAAGAGTTTTTTTATTCACTTATTTGTTTATTTATTAAATTGGCATGCCTCTCGAGAGGCCATCACTTAGGAATGGTTTTTCAATGAGACTTAACATAGTAACCTTCAGGTACTGTACTCTCCATACCACCCCAATAGAACTGCTCCCTTTTGTGGTATCTGTGTAACCAAATTTTTTGAAATGGGGGAGTGGTCTGGAAAAAAGTGCATGTGGTTTTTTGGAAAGGACCTAGGGAACATCCCTCACTATGAATCTGTTTGCAGCCACTGATGTATAACAAGGCCCAATATCTTTCCCAGAAAAAGATTCTGGACTCTGTGAAGCCATGCACAACATGTGTGATGGACTGGCCTCACGAGGGCCGGAGTTTTGAAAGAACCATGTGAGGCACGAGAACAGTGGGACCTCCTTTAAGAGAAAAAGGAGCCTGATCCAGCAGGTCAGACCCAGAAACAGAGCACGCGCTTCAGAGGGGTGTTGACTTTAGATCACTGCGGTAGAAGTTACCCCCACAGAGACCTCTGCCAGTAGGTATGGCCCTTGGTAAAAGTGGCATAGTGTATTATTTAAAATAACTGTGAGACTAAATGTTCTAATACTTCGGGTCCATACAACCTTGTTGTGGAACCCTGTACTGCTGTACCTGAGTGTGCCCAGGGGGAGT